ATTTGGTTTTAAAATACCCTAGAGATAAGGACCTTTAAAATGTGGATAACTTGTGATTTTTCCCCAAAAAAAAAAAAAAAAAAATTGCACTGAAATAGAAAGAAAAAAAAAAAAAAAAAAAAAAAACTAGACTGGCAAAATCTCAAAGCAACACTTTAAAATATTCCAACAATTGACATTTAGTCACTTTAAGTGAGCAAACTTTAAAAACAACATCTCTTTGAGGACAAACACACAAATAAGAAAAGGACTTATACTTCATATCAATGACAAAATATCAGGGACAGCCCTTGAGAAACAAAATAAATTAGAGTTCTAATGTGTAAAACAAAAAGCATTCAGAATGAAAAACAACCTGACTGTGATTAAGGTAGACTAGCTACCCCATTCCTTCTTCCCTATAAAACAAAAACAAATGGTATGTGAAATTACATTCAGAGGTTCTGACATGAACACAAAGAGTAGCCTGGTGGGTGGTGGAAGCCAGACAGAAAGACTAGCCATGGCAAGGAACCAAAAAGGAGGGCCTGTGAACCCTGTGCTGCCACTACCAATAATTTTATATCAGGAAGATTAAAATTCTGGAATGAATCAGATGAGAATCAAAACTGATGGGGTTATCAATTGAAATATAATTTATATTTGCAAAAGAGATTTTAGCTGATTTGAAAAAAAAATGGCCACTGGAAATAAAAGGTAAGAAAGAGTTCAGAGTTCAACACTAATGGCTGAATCTGTAACTAAAACTAAGTACACAAATGTAGCAGGAAGCCTAAATTACGAAGTGCTTCTCAGCATTCCCCCATGTGCCAAGAGCTAAAGCAATGTCTTACAAAATGATAAAAAATAAGGGTCCTTTTCTTATGACATGTCACTTTGAATTCAAAAAACTTTGTTTTAGAAATCATTTATTCAATTCAATAACATTCATAACAAGAAATAAAACTTTATTTCACTACATCAAGCATAGCCTAGAATACTTATTTTGGCCAAAGATTTGAATTTAAAAAATATAATAAAAATAATATTATTTTAACATGTTAAGTAATTGCATGAAAAAGTGTTTGATATTAGGTTACCTACAGTTCTCTATCATTGTTAATTAAAAAACTGGAGGCATGGGCTGGAGGTATAGCTCAGTGGCAAAAGGCTTGCCTAGCATGCGCAGGGCCTGAGTTCCATCTTAGTGTGGGGTTTGGGGTAGATCTGGAGGCAATGTCACTTAAGAAAATGTGTAGACATATTAGTTATAAACCAAGTATATCTAATATTTTCACATGATTGACTTTCAAGCAAGTAAAGTCTACCACTGCTGGGGAAAAGAAGGAACATCTTAGCACAAGTACCAGATTCTCCCTCTAAAACCCTTTAAGATTTTGAAATCTATGGCTGGGCACAGTGGCCATGCCTGCAATCCCCTCTGGAGGCTGAGACAGGAGAATAAAAAAAAAATCAAGGCCATAATGGGCACCTCACTGAGATCCTACCTCAAAATAAAAAAAGCTGAGGATGTGGGTCAGTGGTATAGAGACCCTGTGCTTCCATCCCTATACCCAAGAAAAGAAATCTAGTGCTACTTCTGCCTATGGTCTCTGCTCTTTCTCTCTTTATTCACAGGGATAGAAAGCTGGATTCTTGTTGAGGTCAGTATGCAGGATGTAGCTCTACTGTGCAAATTCACTATGTGTCCTCGAAAACAACAAAAGAAGTAAGAAATATAGATTATAATATATAATTTCTATGTGGAGCTTCTAATAAATAGCAAGATAACTCAATATTAAATGCCTGTGCACATTTACCCAACAACTCTCTGTTCACACCTTCTGGGCTAAAGGCACTTTGCAAAGCCTGCACCGCTGAGTAGAGAAAGACTGGGACTCTGTTCAGAAGTTGATCTACAGACAATCTCAGAAACAGGAGTAAATTCACACCTCTAACAATAGGAAGAATCCTATTTGTGGTCTGTGCGAAATTTTGCAGCACAGCAGCTGTCCTCAGAGCAGCAAGTTAGTTTGAAGGAGCTAAGCTGGGAAGACAACATCACAATGAACCTTCTCTTGCTTAACCGCCAACTTCATTAAAACTGGCATAAAATATGAAAAATCAAAGTATATATGCATATTAAGAATTGTAATGCAAAAAAAGAGTACATGTATAATGAAATAATTTGGTGTGAACATACTTTATATACAGAGTTATGAAAAATTGTGCTGTAAATGGGTAATAATGAGTGTAATGCATTCCACTATTGTCATGCACGTAAAAAATAGATAGATAAATTAATTAGTTAAAGACTGGCACAAAGACTTCTGAATTCAAATCCAATTTTATGTAGGGGGAAAAAAAGAAGCTATGCAAGGAAATTAACAGAGTCAAACAGACTCTATGATGACTTTCATGTTAGGCTTCCCAACTTGAATGTTTTATCTATTTATGTATGTGTTCCTACAGTCATTTTATATAGCAAAACTCCGTGTAGTGAGTACTGCCTGAACCTCTCTCTACTACAGACATACTACAGAGAAGGACCAGGACAGAGCCTACAGAGTGTGTGGCCAGCAGGAAGTCTCCCCAGTGGGCTTTGTTAAGCCACAGGACTGTCTTCACTATTTCAATAACTTTACTCAAATGAAGATTAGTTTAAAATATGTTAGGCTCTGTTTAATTATGTTTGGCTTATTTTATAGTTTAGGGAATAGCACCATGCAGAGCACTTGGCATAAAGTAGAACCTTGTTAAATGTTTACAAAAATCAAATCTACATTCACAGCAACTAAATTTAAAGGTGGGGGGGAAGGTTACCCAACAAAGATCTGGCTGAAGTAAAATGACAAGAAGCATACTATAGAGTTTGGTCTCCATCTCAAACAGTGCTTTGATGGGGACTTTTATAAAACACTGTACCTCTACTGTATTTTTTGAACAGGCTCCACATTTGGTCGTTTTCTCCAAAGGAGAATGATTATAGAAGTCAAGCACTGCATTTTCCACAGCACAAGTTCCAGAAACTTTAGCATTAAGATCTAGCAGACAGGGCTTAAAAGACAGGTGCAACCCGAACCAAAGAGTGGTGAACACTGAACATTTCCTCAAATTATGTACACAGCTAATTTCTAGCCCATGAATGTTCTAACACCACACACTCTCCACCTCAAAAACAAAAACTCAACACCTTGCAGGAACTTCTGCAATCACAGGCAATTCAACAATATTTACCATCTTCAGAGTACTCTTAACCTAAAAATAAGTTCAATTAATTACAAAAATTTTATTATTCTCCTGTAACAATCTCGTAGTATTATAAGTTTTTTTCCTTAAAGTATCAGATATAGTTATTTTTACCAACTGAAAAATAAAAGTCAATTAAAATTACAAATAACTTCTAATTTTATATTGAACAAACTTTTATGAAAATATCAATTACAAATACTGCTTCAATGTCTATTTCTTAAAACTACAATTGCTTTTTCACATCACATTTTATCCCTATGGTGCAAATAAAAGATGAAAACAAGTCTTATAATAATCATCTGAATGCAGAGGTTCACAATTCTAAAAAAAAGGTAAATAATGCTTAAAAATGTTGGTGCTTTATGGTAACTAGCAGATAAACTACTTCATCTGAAGAAGTATAACTAAGGACTAAAATCACACATTATCCTTGGGTAATGTCATTAATAAAACTTAGCTACTGTGGGCACAGTGGCATACACCTATAATACCATCAGCTTGGGAGGCTGAGGCAGGAGGATTGCAAGTTCAAAGCCGGCCTCAGCACAGTGAGGCCCTAAACAACTCAGTGAGACTCTGTCTCTAAATAAAATACAGAACAGGCCTGGGGAGGTGGCTCAGTGGTCACGCACCACTGGATTCAATCCCTGGTATCAAAAGATAAAAAAAAAAAAAAAAAAAAAAAAAGTAGCTATTTAAACAACTGCTTTAAATGATCCATACTCAAATTTAATTTTTGAAAAGAACAAATTTTTAGAGTTTGATAAGTATTCTAAAGAAAAAAAAACAGCTAACTATAGGAATGAGAACAGTAAGAAGCAGCTTCAGAAATCACAGAATTCATACACAACGACTACAAATCAAGACAACTTCTAACAAATACACGGAACCTTAAATCTAGTACTAAGTTAAATTTAAATAATCACCTGATTAAATATGCAGGTTCTTCATTTAAACTTGTTTGGTAAATGACATATATAAATGCATCAAAGCCAAACAGGCCATTATATTGACATTTCCTGAAAATCAAACTGCTTAGCCTAAATAAAACTCCGGTTTACATACAAAAGACTTAAAAATTGTATCATCTGGTTCATTTTTTTCTCCCACAGTTTTTAAAAAGACATGTATTTGCTGGATTAATAAAATCAGGAATGACCTACAAATCAAAACAAAAATTCAAATGAAGTAAATTGTATATATTTAAATTAATATGACCAATTAATAGACTTTTTTCTACTTACAGACAGAATCATGGAAAGTACAGAAAAAGTATGCGCGCACCTCTGTACATGCAAGAAAGAATATGAATATGCTTTGTTTTAAACATATTTTAAAGTGCAAATATTTAGTTAAAAATATAAGATGAAGAGCTCAAGACTTTGGCATTGCTTCTGAAAAACAAGGAAATCTCATTTTTATTCCCTAGAATTGGGCACACTTACCCCATACACACCTTGTGCCCACAACACATAAAGCCAAGGACCTTTCCTTCCCACTTAACATAGAGCAACAACAAACCAGAATTCATATTCTTTAAGGCAAAAGGAATCCCACTGATGATCCCAATTCAACAATTTTACAGTTAAACAAAATTAACTCCATTAAAAAAAAAAAAACAAAAAAAACACTGACCTTAAGCTTTCAACAAACATTTTCCACTACAGAGATTCCTGTCAATATTTACCAATCCTTGCATATGTGGTATTAATATCTTTAGTGAATGTGTGCTCTTCCCCATCAGAGCACAAGGAGCAGCTGCTACTCACTGGGAATCGCTGGGGTCCCACAGCAGGCCTCGGCTGGCTCGGTACTGGCAGCAAGGGCACTGCAAGGAAACAAATCCCATTACAACCATGGCTCTGGCATCCAGGACCACTGGAAAAGGAAGACATCCTATGCAGATGAATATACATAGTATATGCTATGTGTACTGCACATGTTATAATCCATTAGGTTTACGTGTAAAGTAAGAACTTGGTACTTTTCACAACTCCGTAAAAGGAGAAGGGAGAAACAATAGCTCACAATAACACAAGCCAAAGCTTAAATGGGAATAGTGAATTACTATTTGGAACTAAAATATTTTTCAATAAAAGAAGAGAGTGTTCCTCTAAAATACAAAACCTAGTTTGTTTTCCACATCCCTACCCAGGTAATCCAGGGTATCAATTCCAGTCTATTTCCTACCACAATCACATATGCATTTAAATCTGGATCCACTAGAATCAGGGAAGAGATGAAGGGAGGGAGAAAATAAGGCAGACAGGAAGAGGGAAACAGAATACCCTGGAAACTGGAGAAAATGGTCACACTCTCACAAAAAAACATCAAATAATCTATTCTGCCAAGACTTCTATTTTTTTTTTTTTTTTAAAGACAGAACAGTCAATCTGCCAGAAAGACAAGGATTCAAATCACTTTTAAGGAAGACATCTCATGGTAGGAAAGGAGTGAGATTTAGTTTCAGACCTTGAGGCTACATGAGATGTGCTAAGCTCTTTAAAGTATCTCATGCACTATACTGATCTTAGTTTTGAAAGGCTCACTACTTCACAAACAAATCACACTGTGTTTCATCTCAAAGTGCTGCAGGCCTCTCCCAGAAGCCCTTAGATGATCAGGCACTATGAAATAAACTGAGTCCCCTCTACTCTACCCTAACTTCATATGCTGAAGTCCAGTACTTCTAAGGTGATGCATCTGAAGTCAAGTCTTAGGCAAAATGAGATATTTAAGGTGGGCTTTAATCCAACCTGACCACTGCCCTTGTAGGAAGGGGAAATTTAGCGACAAACATGTACACGCCTAAGGAGAGGCATGTGTGGACATAGGGAAAAGATAGCCACCCACAGGCCCAGGGAGGCCTCTGGGGAACCAGCCTGCCCACACCTTCGCCTGGAACATCCGGTCTACAGAATGAGAGGAAGTAACTTTGTACTGGTTTAAGCTCCCAGGATGTGGTACATGTTAGGGTGACCCTAGTAAACTAACACACATCAGATAAAGCCGGATACAGCATACTTCTAATTGAAGTTGTTTCTGGCAAATAAAGAAATACAGAAACAAGACACCTTAAGAACTGATCAAAGTTACTTTTAAATAAAGGGCTAGGATAAACTATTTTTTATTTACCATGATTACTCAAGAAATTCTGCACATTATCATTCTTGCACAGGTTGAATTTAAACTGATAATGTGTATAGAGTGTGTTATTGCTTGACCAAATGCAAAAATGTGACCCACAGGAATTGATTTTAGAAAACATAAAAATGGCAGAAGTTCTTTCTTATCTTGAAAGTCTAACCCAATCAAAGGGAAATGAAAAAGGAGAGCAGATCAATCTGTAAGACTTTATGTAAAAGAGGATGCAGATCCCCAATTCTATACAGTTGATATACATGGATTATATAGTACTGTATAAAGGATCAGAATAAACAAAGAAAAAACTAGAATGCCTCTGACTGCAGGAGAAGAAGGAATAACAAATCTGTTAGCCAATACAAGGACAATTTTAAATTAAGTACTAAATATAAATCACCCAGCTCTACCACAAGTCTACCACAGTACACTTTTGTAAACCTTGAATTTGAATGTCAGTTCTCAAAAATAATTTCAATAAAATGATGTGGTAAAAATACCAAGCTTCTTTAACTGGAGGAACGAGAAGAAGTAAAGATGAAATCTCCAGGAAGAAATCTGATTATAAGCAACAAAATCTTACACAGAAGTCTCTGATGAACTGGTAATTTTTACAAAGCATCAGCATTTTTCTTTTATTAAAGAGAAAAAATGAGAGAGAAGAAAAAAGAGAGCAACTGAGAAGAGGTGTGAGAGAAACAGGGCAGGCTCTTGGCCCAACATGGAGGGAAGCCTAGTCAGAAGGTTCAGGGTCTATAAACCATCCTCACTGGAGCCTTGCAGTCCCCACTGTGAGAAGAGAACTCAAAACTTGCAATATTTCAGTCTAGGCAAATCTATTATCCCATGCATTTAATGCACTTACTAAGTTTTTAATTCATATAGTAAGTATAATTGTGAAAATTGGGCAAACAAATTAAATTTCCATCAAAATTGGTTAAATAATAATATAATGGGGCACTCTTCATCCTCAAAGAGAAGATAGGTATCATCAAGAAAGAATATTTTAAAAGATTTTTAAAGTATTTTTGCCTGCATAAAGCTCTGAGAATGCTAGTTTGGTGTGTTTGTGTCTGTGTATACACACATATTGATGCTCAGCACTGTGGACTTCTGCTTAAATTCAGCGGCCCTCTGCTGAATGAAACACTACTTCTAGTGTCCCCACCTGTACCCAAAAAGACATGTTTTACCTTTCCCCCAGTCAGTGTAACTTGAAGATCAAAGGTACAGTAAAGACAAGGAACATGTGGCACAAGCTCTGGAATTTGTGGTGAAACGTCTAGGAGTTCAGCGCAGACCTTACACGTCCGCTCTGACTCACAGGAGAGCTTCCAGGTGCTACACCTGCACTCTGCACTCCAGGACCAGGCCATAAACTCTGACAGGCTGTCCTTTTTCACCACCTGCACTCCTGGGTTTCCTTACATCTTCGCCACTCTGTAGTTCTAATACTAACCCACATATTATAAAGAAAAAATGTGCATCTTAACCAACTGCCAGCTTTCCGCTGAATATAATAGGAAATCACACAATATCAGATGCTTCTGTAAGTAAAATAATTCCGACAAATTAAACTTAGAGAAACAACTATAGATGATATAATATGTAAAGAACTACTTTAATGAGAGCCCGTCTTTTCACATAGGCATGCGCTCACCCGACCCTTCATCCCGCAGCTGCTGAGACACGGGCACTGTGCTCCTCCACAGGGCACACACTCCCTGCCCTTCCAATGTCTTGTAGAACAGGGGATGGTACTTTCTGCTCAGTCATAACACAGAGATTTACATTGTGAAGAAATGAACTTGGCCATTAAGCCAATGTGTCTAAGTAAAGGGGGAAGGAGCCACAGACACCACCACCTTGATAATGAAACTGCTCTGCCATAGTGATGGCTCCAGTGAGGTGGCTAGTGAGTCCCTTTAGTTGTACAGTGACCGACAATATCACCAACAGCAATGAAGAAAGCACACACCTTGAACAGGGGTCACCACTGTCCCCTTGAAGTGGGGGTTGATGTGGATGTTCTTGGGTTGCTGTGGCGTCACAGGAGGGGGCGTCAGCATCATCCTTGGGGCCTCTATCTGGGGGGGCATGTGCACTCCCTGCGGCGGGGAGGGGTGATGTGGGTGTTGTAGGGGAAGCAGAGGCTGTAGCTGCTGCTGCTGAAACAGACTTCTGATTGGCTGCTGCTGAGGAGGTGGAGGTGGAGGTGGAGGCTGAGGTTGTGGAGGTGGGATCAGTCTCGGAGAATGAGTCTAAAAACCACAGAAAAGAAAGTGCACAAAAATCAACATTTAAGTAAAGGAATGCTGATATGTTACAAGTTTACACTGGCTAACTTCTAACATTTAAGACATAGGTTCATAATAACGACCTATATCAAGAGCAGGGGATAAATAAGCTGGTCCCCTACTCAGAAGAGGGCTGATGTCTCAGTCATCTGTCTAAGGCAAGGAGCTTGGGGAAATGGTGGCCCCCAAACAGCCAGCATGAACTTTGAAATAAAAATTTTTTAAAAATTCAGCTCAACAAACAATGTAACATACAATGAGCAAAACTGACTGATGAGGAACAGGACAGAAGCCCTACTCAGCCCTGTGCAGTCAACCTGCTCCTCCTCCTGCAGGAGTCTGGAGACGGGCAGGAGCATCCAGGGTAACCCTGCTCCAGAAAGAAGGCACAAGAAAGTGCCAGAGCCAAAGACAGCCACTCCGGTAGAGGTGGGGGAGACACTTCTTTGAGAAGCTGGCAAGTGCACCAGGATGTGAAGGAAGAGAATAAAGTGCCATGCAGGTGAGTAACAGAACCACCTTACAGAAGTCCAAGGAGGAAAGACAGGAAGGACAGCAGTATGGCACAGCATGGAAAAGGAGAAAGAAGGAGGGTGAGGACAGGAAAACTACAATCCAAGGTAGTTGAAGATCCCTGGCTGTTCGGTTCAGTGGTTACTTTGGTGTCCTGTTCCCCTGAGCATTTGAAATGCCCACTGCAGTCAGCACGGGAAGTAGCTGACAATCCCAGGTGAGTCCTCCTATCAACCTCTTTACAATACCAGGAGCTCAGAAGCGAACAGTTGGAATCAGAATCCAGACAATCTGATTCTCTAAGTTTTTCTTTTAGCCACCAATCAAACTGGCCCCACAGCTAACTAGCAATAGAACACTACTTATGCAGCTACCTAATTTAACAAGCAATTTTCCCTGGGATGATACCAGATCTTGGAAGGCTCCTGAACTCCAACTGAAAGATCTGTTATTACACCATATACAACATGCATGACAAGAAATCCCTCGTGATGTCTCTGATAGGAAAAGAACCCCTCACGGAAGCATGTGGGATAAACTAGGCTAAGAGGGAAAAACAGGCCCATAAATAGACAATGGCGAGAAGCAAATGAGAGAAATGGCCAAGGTCTGATGAAGATTAAGGAGACACTTCAGAGGAACAGGGAGTAGGATTTTATAACTAAATCATGGTTTAGTTATAAAAGCTCCTCATGGGGGAGCTTTTCAAAGATTCCAGAACAGCTTAAATTGCCTTTCTCCAGCTCCCAGGATCCAGGACACTGCTTCTCTCACTCATCACCTCTGTCACGCGCACACATGCACACGAGTGGGGCCCTTGCTTACCTTATTCACTACCATAATCCCACAGAGAGCACGTTCACCGACACAGGCATACCCAAGGTGCATTTCAAAGGAAATGAAAATGACTACCAAACACGGTCATAATTTGAGAGCATAATGGAGTTTTTAGGGAAAATCCTGTGTGCTTTTAAACAAGTGAAGTTTAGGGCCTGTGAAATGTCCATGTAGAAAGGCGCAGGGACAAGTGGAAATGAAAAAAATCAGAACTAGGAAAAGGTCAATGGAGAAGAAAGTCCCGCAGAGAGGGCAAGGCGGGTAAGAGGGAGAAAGAGTGAGACGTGAGAGATGACACGGTTAGAGGGACAGTTATTTCATAACTGTTAGAGAGTGCATTTTACAGATTCTCACCAAAACAAACACATATCATAACATCACAGTGGAGGAGGGGACAGAATAATCACAAAATCTCATATACCTAAGAAAGAGCAGCTCAAGTGAAAGTTAGCAACAGTGATGCCCAAGTCTCAGTATAGATACCCACAATCAGCCATCAACCCAAGCAGTGAAAATAATGAAAGCCAGGAACAAAGCACTGACCAAGGGAAGGTGAGAAGACACAAACCAAAAGTTCTGTTTCTAATACATGGGGTAAACAGTCAAGCCCCAGCACAGACTAGGTGGGAAGAGAACAGGAGAGGATGGCCTGGGTAGGTAAGTTCAGTGCAGACTACCCTGACCTTTGTAGTTAACTGGCAACAGCCAAGCACCATGGACAGCAAAGAGGAAGCTGCAGCACTGGCCAAACCGGTCAGGCAGCTATTTGGTTGGCTGGACAGCCTGAATCAGTCCCATCAGAATCCCACAATGCAACCTCACCATCAGGATACAGGTCACCCTAAATTTCTGGGACAGTCATTAAATCATGCACACACATTCTTTCAGAGCAGTAACTTCTCTGGGAAGGTAGGCAGCTCATGTCTTCTTTCTGCTCCTCCTTTTAGTGAATAAGAAGATAGGCAATTCTGTGACTTTCCCAGGATCACAGAGACACAATTATACAAAACCTGGTCTCATGTGCAACAGGAAACAATAACTAAAATGGCAGTGCCACATATGGCATTGGCTTGAAATGGTGCAAGGCTCAGGGAAGGAAAAAGAAATTAAAGATCAGACTGGGTGCTAGGAGAGGTGCTTGAGACCTAGCACCTGTGTGTGCAACAGCAGGTGCCAACACCACCAGCCCAGGGAATGCCCTCAGCCCACAGGCTTCTCTCTTCCCTGCCAGGACACAAAACTAGAACCTCCTGCTAAGGCAAAAAAAACCCACCCTTTCTGCTATTATTTCACAAATGAATGAGGAAAAAGGGCAATAAAAGCATAAGAGGGACATGTGGGAGACACTGTCCACAGTCTTTCATTAAGTACATTTCTTGACACATTCTTTCCAAACACTGCCTTCCAAAGGAGAAGGCCAGGAGAAGGCCATCATGCAGAAATCACGACACCTCCTATCTCAGCTTCCAATACACACCAGGAGAACATAAAATAAAATTCAGCTTAAATGAAATTAAGTGATACATTCTTAAATTATGAATAAATTTTATGAATAGGATATGGTTGTTATTCTAAGAGAAATTGGTATTTAAGGGGGAAAAAAAACGTAAACAGTGTAAAGGAAAAATGATATTAATGCAATCAACTCCTGCCTTAACTCTATATTCAATAACACCAGGGTCTGGAGAGCAACTCGCCAGAAGAGCAGGGCTCTGGGCAGCCTGGCCACTGGACGTCAGGTTGTCAAATCTTCCTTTGGAAGTGGCTATGGCACTGGATTTTGGTATTGCCAGATACTGGAGAACTGAATTTTGAAAACTATGAAATTGAATTCAACTGTCAAGCAGAAACATCAAGCAGGAGTCCTATTGCTGATCTTAATTTCAGACCAGGAAGAGGTGAGCCTATAACACACCACCACAGAAACACACTCCCACTGTCCTAAAGCTGTCAGGCTGCAGGAGTAAAAGCACAGGATTACCACAACAGGAGGCTGTGCAGGAAGCAGAGCGGGCCTGTGGTCCTTCATTCTGCCCCGCTCGCTGCCCTCTCTCCTCTGGTCGCCCATTCCACGGCACATCAGAGAGCCGCCTCTCCTTCCTCCCCGCCGGGAGCCGTAGCGGCCCTGCTTGTGCTGCCGCTCTCTTTCTTCAAATTCAAGCAATGCAGCTTTGGCTTCGGCTGAAAGCTCTATTTGAAAAGATACATGTGTTAGATAACTTCAAACAGCCCACACTGAATTCATGGGAAGAAAACAGGAGGGTCACGCGTGACAATGGAACTGGAACACATGCTGTCTCAACTCCTGCAACAGCAGGAGTGAGCATGGCTCTATGGGCAAGACCCACACCCACTGGTGAGATCTGTGTGACGAAGACTTTCTCTTTCAATAATATACAAGTTCACCTAAAAGGAGAAAGTCTTTTCAGTTGAGACCCCCACAATGTGTGCAGTGAAGCTAAAAAGTGGGCACTCTGCAATCATGCTCCTTCTACATGGTCAGGAGCTATCACCCCAGTCCTACACCAGCATGACTTTCTCCCTGAGGCCAGTAAGACAATATCATTCATATACAACAGCTCAGAGACTCAAAAAAAAAAAAATCCTAATCAATTTGACTTTAAAACAAAGCTATTAATGAATGCACACTTAAGTCAAATTATTCAAAGTAATTTCCCTAAAAAATGAAAAACTTATTTAATACTACTTCATTTCAAATACTCCTTTAAAAAATAAAAGCAAACATTCTGTGAGGACTCCTTATGTCCACGCAGTATGACAAGGACTACTTGTGAGAGCAAATCACATAGGGGAAAGCTCACCAACACAAATGCTGGAGAGCAACAAGAAGGTGCCGAACTCTGCGTGCGTGCACGCACGCGCACACCACACACCCATTGGGGCGCAGAAGACAAGGGTGGGTTCCCAGGGAACTTCCAGTGGCACAATATTCCAAGGTCTTAAGGGGAAAACCCCAATTTATCTAATAGGATCCCTCTATTTTAAATGACATCTAAGGTGTGATAACAGATCTTCACTAGTAAATGTGTTTTCTGAATAGGTCACTGAATACTACTAGAAGACTTCTTAGACATTCTTTCCCAGTGAAGGATAAATATCAACTATCCCTGAAGTTCACCTCTTGGACTCATCTCCAAATTCTTCCAAAATCTCTGAGTCACATTTCATTCTGAAACTTGTTCCTTGGTATTCTACTCCCCTTCAACTGAATCTAAACCCCTTTTGAAAGAAAATTTAATCTCCTTTTAACTAGCGCAGACTTTTATTCTAATCTTGACTACATGATTGGCTCACACACACATTTTATGTGGTGAATCAGCAATTATTTTTCTAGTGGTTCTGAGTGTCAAGATCAATTTCACTATCCTCAGTAATAAAATGGTTTCAAATGACATCTTTAATCAGCAAGTAAAAATGCTTTCCTCCAATTGAGACAAGCTGTCACAAAAGGTCACCCAAATATGACAGGATGGAAATTACATTTGTAACTTCAACTGAAATGTTAATTTCCCGTTAAGTGTTTTCTGCACTGTGTCCAGACACTAAAGTAAAGAGATACAGAGTGATATAACCAAGTTTTATACTGTTTTGTCCATTTCTAAAATGTTAAGAACATGTTTTCATACAAGTAATTATACAATAGTTGTAAAGTGAATAAATGCTTATGGAATATACAATTTGGTAAAATAAAATAGCAAGATAGAGTTTTGTTTTTGTTTTTTTTTTTAAACAAGATAAATGAATCAAGGAATTTTTAAAACTGTGCAAATACAGAAAACAGTATAAAAAGAATAGTACATGACTGCCGGCACTAACAATCTTGAACTATTTATCACTATATAAAAATGTTTTTCCCACAGATCCTTTGCCTTAAATGAAATTAACTTATAGGTGTAACAAGCAGGTTTTTCAAGATAAAGCAATAAAAAACAATTTAACATATTACATGTGCCAATGACACTTAGCAAAATACAAAATCTGGACATGTGCTTCCAGTCTACTAAAATAAACGTGGTGCCTCGCTTATCTGCGGTTTGCACTGCTTTCAAAAACCATCTGAAGTCTACTTCCTATGGTAAAGGAACCCACAGGTCTGAGTTTCTGGGTCTCGCCTGAAGGAAACTAGTCAATGACACCTCATTAATATAGAATAGTACTGACACTTTCATTCAAAGTTAAGTTTTGCTTACATACACATGTTCTGGCAACCCTGCTGAACCACCATCCTCAAGAGAATCACCATTTATACCCTACAGCATCTTTTGCATGTAATGACTTAATGAATCTTCTGAGGATGCAGTCTCACACCAAATTTAGGAAAAGTGAGAAAACAAGCATGCAAATCTTTTCCTATAAGGTTTACTTTCCACAATCCTGAGTGAGAAAAAAGCTAACCAACTACAATCTTAACTTAAAAAAAAAAAAAATCCAAAATTGTACTTCTAATCCAATCTGAAATCAAAATACAAGTCAATGATTGTGCTTTAGATTTCTTAATAGTCAAGATTGTCATATATCTGAATTAGTATTGCCCATAGTTAAGGATAACACCCTGTTATCTGAATTTGAACAAAATACAAAGTACCAAAACTCTCTTCTAGATTTGGAAGAGAACTGATTATTTCACATGCAAACTTTTATGGTCAAATGGGGGACTCCAAGCATTACTTGAAATTTAAAAAAAAATAAAGTTTGTATTTCTTATGAAAACATTAAAAAATACTACTGGTTCAAAAAATGCATGTCATAGGAGACAACATATATTCTCTAGTGCCAAATATTTTAATCTCATCACCAAAAGTAGGAATAATATACAACAGAATAACTATTCCAATCCTCAGACTGATATTTCTATCATTGAAAACATACTAACTGAGGGGTAACAATTCATGCAAATTTCTAGTGTACCATACACCCTGGTATCCTCTGTCTGTCTCAGTGAGTCTTTTCACATCTGAAAACTTAGCTGTTTAGGAGAGGTGCTCAGGAATTTTTTTTTTTTTTTTGGTACTGATAATAATACTAACTTTGCAGTTACTGGCTAACTTATTTCTAAATACTGAGCTCTCTAAAGTTAGGACTCATAAATTTGGAACAGAGAAAGGTGCTGTTGAGCAGTACCTTTTTTGTGTCCTATTATTTAGCCAAATAACCATGTCCTACACAAATGCAATTTTGTCCTTTTTGAATGTTGAAAGGAATGGTAAATAATCAAATTGTTTATGTTTATAGCCAGTCTGCCTCTAAGGACCCCAGACTCTGTCCCCCCATATCCCAAGGGAGTAACTTGTCCACAACAAATCAATCCTTTCAGACTCTTGTCTCAAGATAATATCATTATAAACCTGTCAGATGCCTTGAAAAGAAAAATAAGATTTGATGTAAGTTCTTTGAATAAAATAAAGTATAAATGACTCTGGAAAGAAGGTCCTGAAAAGAAAGTTGAGTCAGGCGCGTTTGTGCATGCCTGTAATCCCAGGCCCAGGCAGGAGAATCAGGAGTTCAAAACCAGCCTCAGCAAAAGCAAGATAAGAAGCAACTCAGTGAGACCCTGTCTATAAATTGAATTCAAAATAAGGCTGGGGATGTGGCTCAGTGGTCGAGTGCTCCTGGGTTTAATCCCCGGTACCACTCCCCTCCCCCGGTCAAAAAAAAAAAGAGAAAGATGCAGGAAGAATGATAACTTAGAAACACAGGCCAGCTGGGCACTTCAGAACAAGGTCATTATTTGTGCTAGGGTGGAGGTGAAAGGCACAGGGAAGTGGGTATAAGTAGTGAGGCAGCATGGGCCATGAGAGGGTGGCACAGGTGACCCACGAAATCCAAAGTGGCCATACAGTCAAGCTGGTTACAGAAGGTAAAGGTCTCCCCATTTGCAATGTCACCCAACAGTAATTTAATATTCTCAGACTTCATAAGGACCCATGGGGGCTCAGTTGTTCTGCTTTCATACTTGGGACTTTTAAACGTATGTAATGAAAGTCATAGCCCAGATAATGAGGCCCGAGACAAAGAGGCAGAAAAGTTTTGACCTGCCACCTCCTCCTGACTTCAGCACCCTCCCTAGTTCTGGAAAGCACCATGCTGCTGCCCAGGGAGCTCAGTGCTTAGCTAGGTGGAGACTTTGCCCTTGTTCTTCTCATCACCACCCAAGACCACGATGTATTCACTCCAGTGAGTTTGTTCTGCAATGCTATCAATTCTTCCTGCTGAAGTTGTTTCTCTTAACCTTCTATTTTAAGAACTTTGCTTTGTCTTCTTTTACCCAATGCCAACTTCAGATCCAATTTGCTAGAAATACCATAAGTTTCTAAGAAATGTTAGGATGTCTCCAAGAAACCAAGTTCAGACCAACCTGCAACTTTACACCATAACTTAGAAAATTCTAGAGAAATCTTGGGCCAAAAGGTACAGAAAGAGGAAATCAGAGGGCAGAGAGACACCTCTGACACTATAGCACACTGTCTACACAAATCCTACTTCCTACAGTAATGAGAGAGAAGAATGGCTTGCTACCGTTGGCTTGTGCGACTAGAGAGCTTAGCGTCTGCCTGGAGAAGATGTATCTGCCCCTTTAAGATACATGCCCAATTTCAACCTAAAAACAATGGTTTAAAAAAAGTAATAGAGGTAGTTATAAAGGTTCAATCTTGATTTTCACCTCCAACAAGACCAAAGGGCAGGTACAGTCCTGCCTCCTAAAATTTCCTCCTAAAAGGTGGAGCACAGACCTAGTGGTTCTTAGCATGCGGGCTCCAAAAAGCAGCATTTGGGAACACACTGGAATTGCACTTTTCCTGGATGCCATCCTGAATTAATGAATCATAACGGCAAGGAGTGGGTACCAAAATCCTATGGCTGAACAATGCTCTCAAGAACACTGTAAGCAACTGCATCTACCACTGAGTTATGTCCCAAACCCCCTTCAGGCTGGTTCTGATACTCACATAAACTTGAGAACAACTGCTTGGTGGGAAAGGTCATCACAATAGACTGTAAAAAGAGGGGTGGAGTCACTACTGTTAACCAGCAACAGTAGATTTATAGACCAGCAGTTTGCTCAAAATGACATTCAATGAATCACTTCTATAGACAAGCCATCTTTTCCTCAGAAGAAAATAAATAAATAAAACAATGGCCAGGAGAGTGTTGAAAATACAAAATAAAACCAATATGAGTCCACAGTTAGCCCAGGGAACCCTGGAGGTCTCTGGAAGGACAGTGTGGCCCTGTCTAGCATCCCTATGCTGCCACCCCAAGGGCAGCCAGGAAGAGCATGATCTGTAGAAGAGCAGCTCTAGGCCAACAAACTCCCAAAGGAGGGCCATTTAAAATAGACAGTCTTAAATATTCTATTCACACTGTCACTCCAGGACGGATGGCCTTTCACAGCATGGAGCTCAAGACTGTCCACCCTCTGGATAGTACCACAATCAACCACAGCCAACCTTCTTTTCTTGTGTAATTAATCATAATAAAACTACAGAAGAATCTGAAATGAAAAGGAAGAAATGTGGGTGGGGGGGGAGTTACCCAAAGTTTCTGGAATGTTCCTTCTCTCTCTAGTTACATCAGAGAGCCTAATAATTGTTCCTTCTTTCCTTTCCGTTTTGAAACGTAATCGTCCAGATTCTTCATCATCATCTTCCTCTTCATCTGATTCTTCTTTAACGTCTTTCTGGAGCTCCAAAGTTTCCATACTTCCCTACATGGCAGACACAGAAGAGTGGGGGGACAGAGAAAGAGTTCAAATTCATTTAAATTTAACATGAAAACATGCTAAAAATATCTTAGGCTGTTCATATTTATAAGCTGGCTCCAAGAAAAAGTCACCTCAAGTGTTAAAAGCTGTCTTAACATTGTAAAAAGCTCAACTCACACTTGCAGTTAATATACAACACCCTATCACGGTTGCCACTTTCACATCTGATCATAGCAAGTTAACACAACTGGCACTAAATAATAATAATATCAAATAGCTAAAACTTAGAAATTCCAGACCAGTTACACTGGAGTGTGTTAGTTTATTAGCATATAGCCCACCTCACACTCCCAGCTCTGGGGCTCCACAACCCCCACTTCCTGACTCACCTATGCTGATCTCTACTACCAGAAAAGTGGTCCAAAGGTACCTACAGAACCCTCCTGTACTACTCTGGCTTCTCCCCACTACTGTCTGGCTGGCTGAAGGCAACTTGCACTAGCAACAGCTTTGGCCAGTGGAGAGCAAAACTGGTTTTTTCTTCAGTCACTTCACACTAAAATCAGGTTTTATCGTGGTTTTGTGATTTCCAGTATTTCCTCCAAAATTCTCTCTAACCTCACCCCAAGCTAAAGTAGCCTCTCCAGAGACAAGTCTTCCTGCTGAGTATCACGTGAATTCCAGCAACAGGAACCACTGCTCTCCTGGGCAGTGAAAACTGGAGAGATCTAGAGCATGTGGCTCACTAGAGCAACTCTTTCAACATAAGGAAAACAGAATTTGCTTCTTCACTCTCATGGCTCATAGTTTAAAACATTCTTCACTCTTAACAGGAACAAACTACTTTAATAGAAAATGTACAAGAAAAAGTAAAACAAACCCATGACACCAAGAAAAATTAAAACAAACCCATGACATGAGAGTTTTGCATTCCTCTTTTCCTAAACCTTGTCTGTATAAAAAGATCAATTCACATAGCTTGCTGACACACCCTGCAGTGCAAACACATATTCAAGAACTCGAATGCCTTAAAATAAAAGGATAACTGCAAGTAGCCCAGCAGCTGCAATCTACTTGCAGTATTCCAATGCTTGGTATACTGGGGGACTCAAAAGGACCAGGACCTCATACTCTTGTTGGTCTGAATCCTTTAGCTTTATCAGTCTCTGAAATCAGTGAGTGGCAGCTGCAGATGGCTGGCAAGGCCTGTGTGGCCCCACCCTGCAAAAAGCTTCTGCAGACACCTCCAATGCTCCTGGCAGTGCTTCTCACAGGAAGTACCAATCACAGGAAGTGGCTCCAAGGCAGACCCTACCCAGGCAGGCCCAGCGTGGGGCCTGTGAGTCTGAGTCTCTCAAAAGCTCCCTGGAGAAATCAACATTGGGGTCTACAGATTACCAACAAGGCAGTCATTTTAAAATTTAACTATAAACTGTACCCACAGCTCAAACAAGTCCAATGTAAAACACAACAGTATTGAAATTTACATAGTTTATTCTGCATTCAATCTCCAACTAAGAAATTTGAGACAAGATAAAATTTGTTTCCTTGAAGCAAATTACAGCCAACCAAGGGAGGGGGAAGATACAGTTTATCACCCAGAAGCCCCATCCCTAGACAGTCATCCTAGAGAGATTAACTTATGTTAAATAAAAACCTCCTGGAAAACGTCTGCAGCTTTGTGCAGGACCACCAAAATGGAAATTCGTCCTTTAGTGAATGAATGATGAACATCAAACTCTGGAATGCAACTGAGCAATACAAAGGAGTAAATTCTGGGGAAATACTAGGGCACAAATCAACCAAAGTATGCTATGTTCACATACAAATATATCACAACCTGCTTATACTATAATGTTAATGTTAATTAAAATGATAAAATAATGAAGGGAGATCAGTAGAGTAGAACAAGTGGATGGGGGAAGAAAGAGAAGAGAGGAAGTACTGGAGAAAGAGACTGAGCTATGTTATGTACATGTAGGAATACAGCATAATAAATCCTGATATGATGTATAACTACAACACCAATAAAAACTAAAAAAGTTAAAAAAAAAAAAAAGGAGCAAACCTGACACAACGGGGATGGAACTACAAAAGAATGGCAGAAAGTCACACACTGCAAGAATTTCATTTATTTGACATCCTCCAAGAGACAAAATGATACCACTGTCCAGTGGTCAGGAGTGGCAGGTAGCCATTACTACACAAGGCTAACCCAGGACAATTTCTAGAGTGATGGAGATGTCCTAGAACTAAGGTTCTGGTCTAATCGCTGGGCCCAGACAAGACTGAATCACACACTGCAAAAACTGTCACTAAGCCCTAGGCCTCCTGCTTATTTGTGCCATCAATTACTCCTGTGTGATGAGTACAGATACTAAGGATACCTGATCTAATTTGATTTGATCTACAAATTAAAATGTAAATTTTATATTTATAGTAGTTTATAACTACTTATATAGTAGTTTATAGTAGTAATGTAGTTTATAACACTACATTTGACTTCACTTTTTAATTCTTAATAAAAGATCATATGAAAATCATCATAAAAGTACTTACCTCTATAGAAAAACACAGCTTACAAAAATGACCCAAGATTTTAATGCTTATTTATAGAATAACTGAGTGATCCAGTATGATATTACCAGACACAAATCAAAGTCTCTGATTCTACCAACAGTGAAAATTTAATAGTTGAGATGGTTAGGAAACCAAATGGTATAAAAATAAAGAAAAAATATTACTGATCAATAGCCTTCATTTATGCAGATGTAAAAATTCTTCAAAAAATAAAACCACATAAATCTAGCAAAATACCACCACCAAGTGGGGTTTATTTAAAAATTCAAGGTTGAATTTGTTAAATTTGTCAATTTAACAAATCTTAGCTACTGAAGAATTTCAAATACATGCAGATGTTCTAGGAGGTACAGTGCAAGTCTTTCCATCCCCCTCTGGAAAGGTAGCCTCGTTCTCAAGAAGACAAGAAACACAAGACACTTCCTTACCTGAGTAGGGAAGGCTAAGAGGGCCCTTCAGCTCTGGAGTACTCTCTACAAGCTCAACTTCAGTCTACCAGGAGAAAAGTCCAGACTGGCAGGAGTTCCACAAGATACCTGGCCTGCACTTAAGAGTGTCATGGTCACAAAACAACAGGAAAACTAAGCAACTTCCAGAATAGAGGACACATGGGAGACCCACAACAATGTGGTGCTCTGGACTGAATTCCAGAACAGAAAGAAGATATTTGTAGAAAAACTGGTGAAATGAAATTGTTTGGATTAGTTTTTTTAAAAGTTAATTTAATTCATACAAAGTTAAGGGATGCAGACCACCACTATGTCAATAGATACAGAAAAAGCACTGAAAATACATCGATTTCAATTTTTTTTAAATTTCAACAACCTAGATACAGAAAAGAACTTTTTCAGGGCTGGGGATGTGGCTCAAGCGGTAGCACGCTCGCCTGGCATGCGTGCGGCCCGGGTTCGATCCCCAGCACCACATACCAACAAAGATGTTGTGTCCGCCGAGAACTAAAAAATAAATTTTAAAAATTCTCTCTCTCTCTCCTCTCTCCCTCCTCTCTCACTCTCTCTTTAAAAAAAAAAAAAAAAGAACTTTTTCAATCGGATGTAATACTTCCCGCTGATATACTTAATGATGAAATCCTGAATATCTCCCCTAAGTAAATAGCAAGGCCAGAATGTCCATTCTCATGCTTCTGCTGTGGTCAGAACCTGTACTAGAGCTCAATTAAGTTGCAGCTCAGCACTAGAATGTACAGAAAAGGTTCAGACTGTACAGAAAGAACTGCAGTCTTTCTAAAAGGAAACATGATCATTAAGATGCTATTTTTCCCAATTTGATTTAAAGATACCATACCATCTCCAACCAGATTTTTAGTAGATATTGGCAAATACCTCCCAGAATTTACATGGAAATACTCTTGAAAAGGAAAAACAAAATTGATGGATTCACACTACCTGACTCCATGATAAAACTGTAGTACTGGCATAAGGACACAAAAATGAATCAACAGGAAGAGAGATTTCCAGAAAGAGATTGAAATGTAGATGATCTCCTTCCACACACCAACCAGCTGAGACAGTCTCAACTGCAGCTAGCCAACACTAGGAAGCTTCTAGAAGAAAGGTAACTGTAACCTTGAGGTAGACAAAGACTTCTTAGCTCACAAATTACTTAATCTCTACTTAAATGAAAATTTTCTGTTCATGAAAAGGTACATTTAAGAAAACGAAAACACAATCCACAGGTTCAAAGTAAATATTCATAAAGCATGTAACTACCAGTAGATTGGATATCCAGAATACATAGAAAATCATCAACCCTCTCTGGAAAACAGTACAAAGATAAGCATAAATATTCTACAGAGGATTTATTATCTATATACAATGTTTGTATTGTAGGCATACACCACCACAACCAGCCAAAACATGAGATTTTACTTTTCCTCCTAAAAATATCTCCAGAAAGCAACCTGCAGGAAGTTCCATACAATAAGAAATCATAGGAGTTCAACATATGCAGTCTCTAGTTCTCTGCCTTTCAGATTAAGGTTGCATTCCGTTTCTTCACATTTCAGAAAAAAGATAATAATATTGTTGACTTATATATTATGTTGTACACAGCTATATTATTTTTTTAATTGGAAAGTTCTAGAGTAATCCCATCATCTAGAGGTAATCACTATTGTTGTTTTCATCTTCATTCAGAAGACACATACACTTGGCTATATATTGTAAAGCTGAAGGAAAGGAACCATATTACCTTGCTCTTTCTTTCTTTATCATGAGCATCTTTCATTTAAGAGCTAAGGCATCAGGTGTTATACCATATTCTACTGCAAGATTATCAGAATTTATTTAACCCTTTACAAAAGTTTACATTTGTTCCATTTATTTTCAGTGCTTCGAATACCTGGTACATGTATTTTTTATCCCACCTAAATTAATTCCTTTGGATAAATTCACTGAAGTGAAACTGCTGAGCCAAGGCACAAGTGCTTTAAGGCTGCAGGCACCTTTAAAGACAATGAAGGGTCTGATCTCGTTCTTCTTGCAAGATGAAAGTTAGCCTGCCACTGTTTCCTGAAAGCTGAGAAGACCAGGCTCCTGGTCAGAGACTGGGACAATTTTACTACTTACAACACCAGCAGCATCACTTTGGACTAGCTTCCTGAAGCCCTGTTCCCACGGGGCCACATGAAGAAGGCAAGTGACTCACTGCCAGAGGGGTTGTAACTCTGGGAGGGGCTGCTGAAACCAAAAAGGACCGAAACAGGGACAGACTTCAATGGACCAGCAAAGCATGCTTTATTAAATAAACAGCACATTTTCAGGAGAAATAAATGACACATTTTCAGGAGAAAAATGGCAACTGGTTACGAGAGGGTCTGATTTTTATAGGGTTTGGTGAGAGTTAATCATAGCAGAATGTTTAGTGTGATTTAATCATTAGATACTTAATAATAGCAGAATGTATCGGCTGGGCAGTCAGGGAAATAGGTGTAGAATGGGAAATTGTGAAAGTTCAGAGCCCGTTGTTGCTGGGAAACGGAGGGTGAAAGGCCAGAGCTCATTGTTTTCCCTCTCCCGCAGGACGGGTTGTCCTCCTTTCTCCCTGGGGTTACTGTGTTCCACATCCTTCAGCTGTGGGGCACAGGAAACTGGACTTGTCACAGCAGTCTGGAAGCAAGTCTGCTCCAGAGGAAGGCAGCATGTCTTCAAGGCCACCACCTACATAAACACCCCCGAAGAGGCTGTGCAACAAAAGGCGGGCAGTAATTTGCTCTCAAAATGTGCAGAAACCTGAAGCACCCATGGAAAATTGTCTCCTGAGAATGTTTCCAATATGCTCCCCCAACTGAAGGAGAACTGACCAATAACATTCACTTTTGCCATTATTAAATAAAACAGGTTTTCAAATGCTCAAGTTTGCTTTTTAGGTTACTGAATATATTTTCATATACTTAGAGCTCACACACTACTCCTTCTTCCAATTACTTTCTCACATTATCCATCCTTCTTTGAATGGCACTCATCTGAATGTATTAATCATACTGTCTACTGAATATTAACTCCTACATCCTGAGTAGATTTCTTTCTCAGATGTCTTCTGACTAAATTACATGAGCATCACACCAGGGTGAGTACAACAGAATTCAGTGGGAATTCCACTCCCCCATCATCTTGATTTCCCTGGGTCTGTAACATCTCCTCTAATTCTGTCTTGGTTCCCTAAAGAACCTATTCCACAGCTGCTAAATCTGGGTAAAGAGTCCCTTGTACTGCACTTTTATTTTTCTTGTTTGAGTGCTGGGAATGGAACCCAGGGCCTCACGCACAATAGGGAAGCCCTCTACCACTGAGCAACATCCTCAGCCCACTTGTTCTACTTGTATCTTTTCTCTAATTTTAAAATTATTTCAAATAGTGAGACAGACAAAGCACAAGAAGAAAACTCAAATTTAGCTTGTGGGTGGGAGAAAGGGCATGCCCAGTAATTGCTCCTATTGTACCCAACATGCATTCAGACTCTATCATAGCATCATACACCTTAGAAAAAGAATGGGCGAACAGAATGTTTTATGAACTGAGTATCAAAAACCTTGGTCTAACATCCTAGGTAAACAAATGGCCTAAATTAATAAACAAATATTTTCATGTCTCTTGAGGGAAAGGGGGCATTAAGAAAAATTGAGGAAAAAAATCAGTAATAAAGAAAAATTTTAAGAAAATCAATAGGTCCTGGGCTAAGGAATGATTCTGTGGCCTACACACTTGCCAGTTCTAGAGCAAGAATGGCAGAGTCACCCACAGCCCTCCCCAGCTCTCACAGTCCAGGAAATACCATCTCCCATGCCTACTTCAAAGGATCACCTCTTCTACACTGTCTTGGAGCCCAGCCATCACCCCTCAGGTGCCCTAGTTAAGTTGCTCACATTGCACCATGTCTGAGCCCCTCCTGGAAGGTGTCACTTTTTCTGCTTTTACGTTACAGAGATTGGCACACATCTTTTGACTCCCTATGTTAGACTGCAAGTCCCTTGAGGACAAGGATCAAGCCTCTTAGTTCTTGTTTCTTCAACCCAAATCAGCAACTAAGGATAGGGAATCTTGCAGTATTTTTTGAATGGTTCAAATAAACTAATTATATAGCACTGCTTTCAAAGCACTAACATATACATTCCATGTTTTGAGAGATAAGCCCAAAAAACATTTAAAACACTTTAACAAGCCAGACACAGGAGACACATAGCCTATAATCCCACCAACTCAGGAGGCTGAGGCCAGCCTTAGCAATTTAGTAAAACCCTGTCTCAAAACAAAATAAAAAGGATTGGGGATGTATCTCAGTGGTTAAGTGGCCCTCGGTTCAATCCCCAGTACCTAATAAATAAACAAACAAGAACACTTGAAGGGTAGATAGTACTCAGAAACCACAGCACAGCAGTACTTACTCCCCTGAGTCTAGAAAGCCTGGGTTTTTACTAAGTTCAGAGAAGAGATGTCTCAACTTTTCACTAATGCTGAAAGATGCTCATTTTAAATCTGGGGTGGGGGGAGGGGAGGAACACCAGCAAACTTTTTGACTCTTTTTAAAAGTTGAACAAATACCTCTTGGGTCTCAGGAGCAACCTGGGAATCAGTAATCTCATCTAATTCATCTTCAGCAACACAGTCTTCCTGCTCTTGCAGCCCTTGTTGCCCACCATAAGCCTGCAAGTGTTCTTCATCCTGACGGCCATTGAAGAGAAAACAAGTTTTTCTCACACAGCTTTTGGGTGTTTTTGTTTGTTTAAGCACTTTTCATCTCTATGACCCATGTCAGTTATTTTGGCAGATTTTGCTACAGCAGTCCCTGCCTGAGCACAAAGCGCAAAGCATTCCTCTCCATGTTAAATTTGAACAGGGCCCATAGAGTAAACCCCATCACCAAAGTTGGTGGCCTGTGTGTGGCTTCCATATTCAGGTACCCTGTGAAGTATCTCTTCACCATCAACCTAAGGGAAAGAAAACTTCAGAACATGTGCACATGCATGCGCTCTCTCCCCAGGAAGCCTGGCAGGGGGCTGAAATCACGCCCAGCCCTCACCACTTTCACAGTGGGAGAGAACTACAGTATGGGTGATCCAACTCCACATAGATGCCCTTTAGAATCCGGGTCTATCAGGTTCTTCACCAGGCCCCTCCCTTAAGTAGGGAGGACGACTCCAGGTTTGTATGGAATGTAAGGACATTATTTTTGGAGACAAAAACACTACCACAGAAAGCAGGACTACTCCCGATAGAAGCTGATCAGGTTCTATCTACTCAGTGTGGTATCTTCCCAGTGTTGCTGCACACTTGTTAAAAATGAGCACCGCAGTAGTGACAAGCAGGCAACCACGGAAAAACAAGCAACTACAGACCCTAACAACTCACCACATAGTGTGACAATCTTGTCTACACCCCCAAAGAACACCGCTGTCTCCAAGTGCTCACCTCACTTCCCACAACTGCCTTCTGCTCCGCTGGAGAGACTGCAAGCTCTCCATTAAGAGAACAACTACTACCACCCTTGAATCACTGGCAGCAAAACCATCAGATCCAAGTAAGGCATGTGACGCTAGTCAGATTATCAGCAAATATATAATGGGGTTTAGTCTACTCCACTAGAATCTCACTGGGAAACAAATCTGCTATCCTTTACATAAACTGTCAATCTGCAACCATTTATACAGAACAGTGTTTTATAAAATCCCAATCTCTGTTAATATTACAGGCTCTAAAGACTTCAATTAAATTATGTCACCAATAATTTTCTAATATTTTGTCCACTACTAACCAATATAGAGTCCTCACTATTACAAATTTTAAAATGAAATTACAATTTACTCTCAAAAATAGCACCTGCAAAATCCACAGACTTTTAAGAATTTTGTTCTCTGGAGTGTTGTAAGAAAGAATGCCAAAGTTGTGCCTCCCACTCCTTCAGTGTCTCTGGACATCCCCTCTGCACAGGTCTGATAGTGTCCCTCCTGACCCTGAAGCTGTGGTCTTCTGATTCCACACCCAGTCATGCACAAAAAGCATTCCAAATGATGTACAGAAATAGCTCTTGGGGATTCATCATGCAGGCTGTCGAATTCTAAGGACAGGGAACCAGTTAAACAAATCAGTTAATAAATTGCTTACCACTGAGGTATGGAGACACAATCTACTCATGACTCCTTAGTCTAATAATGAGTAAATAAATCATCTGCACACCCCTGACAGCCTAGAAGAAAGCGAGAGAGGCCCCGAACCGAGCCAAGCCAAGCATCCCATGTCAATCCGGCACCTCTCTTTCCACCCAATGGGCCACTTCAGACACACTACTGTGACAACTATGAAAAATACAAGGTGGCCATAGCTGCCATACCAGGTGCATTAAGGTGGGATGACACTGCTCGTGAAATAATATCCTACCACTTTCCCTCACCTTTAAAGTGTATAAACAATTCTGTGAAAACACTAGGACACATTTAGAATTTCCAAGTAAATTTTTACTTTAAGGTTTTATTTAATTCTGAAAATAATTAATTCATTTTAATATGATATAGTTCTATGAGTACTTTTAAATCCCCCAATCTATTCTATTCAATGACCTGTAATTCAACATTCTGTATGACTAAAATAATCTTTATCACCGATGAGGCTTTAGATTGTGGAACACAGAACAGGAAATTCTTACACCACTCCACAAGAAGGCCAAGTGAGACACACTCCCATGCAGCAGCACTCATGGGCTCTACAGAGCACTTTCCACACTGATCTGTCCTTCTAAATCCCACCATCACAGGCAGGACCAGATTCCACATTTTCCATGGTAGAGCACTATCTGTGTCCCAGGGCTGAACTAAGTGAAGACAGGCTGCACTACCGAATTTGTAGGGGAAAGAGACCCCCAGAGACAATGAGCCAATGCTTTGTTACTGATAACCAGTGGAACTAATACTGTCACTAGGAAATAACTAGTCAATTTTTGAAAGACTAATTTTTAAAAAGCATTTCAAATTACAGTCTCACTTTAAGAAAGTATGTGAACACACTAGAAGGCACCTGTCCACCTGGTACCAATTTATTACCAAAACACAGGGCTATCAAAAAAGTCCCCAAGATGCCTTTACCAGACTCCTTACTAAACCACAAAGATCTTTTCATGACTAGCTCCTGAGGAACAAGCATTCACAAAGAATCAAATCTACTGAGACACCTTCAGCAACCACAACAGAGACTAAAACTAAATATTCCAAGGTTCTACATAATTAATTCTTTTCAAAACCACTCATGCACATATAAATGTCTAACATCCAGCAATTATTAAATGTTCTCACCAAATGGAAGCACACTCTGAGTGAAGACATAAGGAGCTGAGAGAGCCACTCCTGCCTCAGAAGGGCTCTGGATACTGAGGTAGGGCTAGCCTGGTTCCCACTCCACCTCAATAGGAAGGACCCTGGAGCTCTGGGAGCCCTAAGGCTCCACATACCCCAGGAGATCATGCCCCTCCTGCAACTGTCATTAAGTGCTCATTTAAAAAAACAAACACATACACCAAAAAAAACCTTTTTTGATGACAAATCATTTTGTCAGGTGAACAATCTTACATTAGTGCCTTTTTCTTTCCTTATGGTTCAACTTAAAAAAAAAAACAAACAAAAAAATGCCAACTACCAAAACCATCTTTTGAAATAAAAAAATCAGCACAATCTTTGCTTCCTGATCACAGATAACAAATTATGTGTGACATTTCTTAAACTAACCTCCAATCTCTTTATTCAGGTTTAGACAGTTCTCAGTTACAAAAAGGATGAATGAACAGGACATCAATCACTGGAATATTAGCACCTTGAAGATGTCTTTAGCAGGTCAATAATCTTTTCACCTTAGAAGGACTTTATCAGATCTTGGCTAAAGCCTGGATGAAAAAGCTCTGCATTAAGTACTTCCATCAATTGACAGTGCATCTCCACCACACAAAGCTGCTCCCTTCCTCAGGGTGCAAGCCTCAAGGTCACCATTCTTTGCAGCCTTCCAGAATGACAAAAGAGCATTACCTCTGGCCAAACAAGCTGTCAACACAAACTTTGTCATAGCTCAGATAAAGAAACTGGCAGACAGTGATAATAAGGTCTAATTTCCCTCCCTCCCAAGGGAGGTAAACAGATTTCAAATCAGTCTAGAAACCCATGAGCAGGAAGCCATGTTATCTTTGGCCATACAAAGGAGGAAAGACTCACTGTAAACTCATCTAAAGGTTCATTGATTTCAATGTCCAACACTTCGTCACTGTACAGCTGCTCCTCCTCTGGCTCCTCCCCATACTCTATCTGGTCTTCTGTCAACTCCGTGTCATGGCCTTCATCGTACTGTCCTTCCTCGGGGTACTCCTGAGTGTACAATTCTGGTCCGTCGGATTTGTGGTAAGCTATCTCATCCTCTCCTTGTTCATACTCAGACTCTTGTTCTCCAGATTGGTCATTTGTGTTGTCCGATAGTTCAAATGATGTAACCATGCCAGATGTGGTATTCAGATTAATCGTGACACCCTGAGAACTGGAAAAATACAAAGGAAGACACCCCATGAGAGTGGAGCTCAAAATTAAACCACGACATACATACATGAGTTGTTTAAACTACAGCTGGTGAAAAGTTATTCCTGTCCCTGACCAAAGTACTTTCCCAGCAAGTGAAAACACAGCTCCAGGAGCCACCCTGAGCCACAACAGGACTCATGATGCAGACTGGGCCTCCACTTAGCAGCTGGAGTGTTTGGGACCAGAAGAACCCACTCAACAGATGAAGAAGCAGATGTGACCGGTAAATCCAAGACTGAACCAACGTTTTCCATTCACTGAAATGAAAACGATCTGTTTGCTGAGTGTAAACTAAAAATAAGAGTACTATTCTATAAGCAAAAAACAATAGTTGGAATTTTAAGAACAAAATGGTTTCTTTTTAAAGCCTATGATATAAATTCCAATTAAAAAACTCTTTAAGATTAAAAATCTGCAGGGTAAGCCAAGCACAGTGCCTCAGCTTTCTTAGTTGCTGTAATCCCAGCATGTAAGAGCTGAAGAGATTTAGAAATAGAAGACAAGCTGAGAGTGATGATACATTGGAAGTGGTAGTACATGCCTGAATCCCAGCAACTAAGAAAGCTGAGGCAGGAGGATCACAAGTTTGACAACTTAGCAAGACCCTCAGCAACATAGCGAGACCCTGTCTCAAAAAATAAAAAGACTGGAGATGTAGTTGAGTGGTAAAGACATCCTTGAAGATGTCCAAAAAAAACCCGCAAGAAGATACATTTCAATGTTCACATAAAATTTAGGCCAGTCATAAATATCTCAAAATTGTTTTAAATTAGCAATTTCTGAGTAAAAAAAAAGGGCTTTGAAAAGGCAAAAAACATATTGCATTTATTAAACCATAATAGCTAAATGCCAAATAAGATGACGATAATGTTCCAAATGCAAGATTATTCAAATAAAACTATGTTCACACCTGTTAAGTGTCCAGTCCTAACAAAACACTGAATATATCACATAGCCTTTAAACTACTCTAAAAGATTCAAAAGATGTATTTCAAGGCCAGCCTAACTCAAAAGATCAAAATATAAAAATGATGTCAAAGAACAGAATCAGAAAATTAGCTACCTGGTAGAATAATTAAAAGCTGTATTTTTACCCATCTATCACTTTAGGTTAGAAAACTGTTACAAATCTACATGACACATATTTTGTTCATTATATTTATAACCAAGACATGTATTTATATTTCCCCAATGTTTCCTCATTTAATTGAAAATTGTTTCCACTTACCAGAGGTAGGTGGAAGTAAGTATCTCTCTCCAAAATGGTAATTCAGAAAACAGGTATTTATTAATACAAACTGCCTCAGATGAAACCAAGACAGCCATACCAAATCCCAGCCCCTGCACTAGCTGTGCCACTGTCCTCCTCCCATAAAGCGCGTTTTGAGAAGCAGCATAAATCTGTACTGGCATCTATGGCGACATGAGCAGACCTCACTGGCCACCAGATGCAGGTCCTGACCTGGATTCACGCAGCTGATCCCTTTACAGAACCTGGCGTATGCTTGTTTCTACATCAGAAGACACTAATATCCCATTCAGAATGTAATCATATGTTGGATACAATACCACATTGCTCAATTATACTTTATTAGAACTATAAATCACAAACAGTTCCTATCAATTTAGTTAAATAAAGAAATTTTAATGAGTTAATACTGAATACCTGAAATTTTCTTCATCTTCATTATCACTCTGTAAAAGATCATCATTTAGCTCTTCATCTGACAAATCCGACTGATTCTAATTAAAATAAGAAATCTAATTAATGTGTGTCACTTCCATAAAGAGACTTGTTACAAAAGAGCAAAATCACATTGAATGGATTATTTCAACTGGATTACTTATGACTTTATGTATTAAAACATTGCCATCTAAAAGGTTCTCTCGATTTGATATTACTATGGACAATCCAGAGATCCCATATCTGGCATACTGGCTAAGTATTAGATACCACAGACAAGTAAGTATAGAAGCAGCAAATGTAATATCAAATTTACTTTCATTTTAACACAAAAGAACAAAGGTAAGAGGTGCCTAGGTGGGGCATTCTAAAGAATTTTTCTTTATCATACACAAAAAAGAATGGTAACCTTAAGATGTAACTAATATATAGCAGGATGTGGTGGTACATGCCTATAATCTCAGGGGCTCAGGAGGTTGAGGGAGGAAGATCACAAGTTCAAGGCCAGCCTCAGCAATTCAGAAAGGCCCTACACAACTCAGTGAGACTCTATCTCAAAATAAAAATTAAACTAAAAGGATTGGGATGTAGCTCAGTGATAAAGTGTCTCAGTACCAAAAAAAAATAAAAAAGAAAATTAAGGGGATATGAAAAAATTTAACAGTTTCCAAAATCTATAAACTCTTTAAGCAATATAAAAAGGGCAACTTCAGAAATAAGCAATTTTTAAGATAACTGGATCTCTATAAACTGAAAAGGGGGAGAAACTTTGGCTTTCCCAATACAGACCATGTATGAAAACAAATGTTACTAGCTCCAGCCTTCAGGGTTTGACAGCATGTGCTGCACCTATCGTCAAGCAGAGGCCCAGCAGCAACTCCAGCAGGAATTCTGAGCTTCTTTGGGCTAATGTGTTCCAACATCTGACTTGGGGGGGTGGGCACTTCATTTTTCTTACTTTTTAAAATTATTCATATGTACAAAAGGCATACATAAATTACTCCTCTTCCTCCAAAAGACAAACAAACATACAGATACATTTATATTTAAAAAGGCAAAGTAGAATAACTGACTTGATCTTCTACCTGAAGATGAAACAATATTTTCTTCTTTTTTTATACCATATAAAAATAGGTCTCTCAAATTTGATAATATATTCTTTATTACAGAATTTCTGATAACCAAAAATAACAAATCCTATTAATTCTAGTTCCAAGAAACCCCATCTATCATTGATATTACATTAAGATAAAAATAACATGGGCCACACAATCAGTTTATCTGCAGAAGGGAGAACGGATGGATCTCTATGACAACAAAACGCACTGCTTAAGACTCACAATGAAGTTTCTGTTAGCTGGGCCAGTCTGACAGTAAAAGGGGCTGCCATTAGCAGGTGCAAGCCAGGCCTGTCCTGGCAAACACAAGTCAACAGTCCAAGTCAGTAAATAAAAACTCATGAAATCTTCAAAAATTAGCAATTCAATAAAAGCCAAATTTCATTCAAGAGGCTAATGCCTTGAATTTCTAATTTTTTTTTTTTTTTTTTGGCTGAGGATCAACCTAGGCTTTGTGCATTACAGGCAAAAGGTCAACCACTGAGCTATACTCCCAGTCCTTAAACTATAAGGCATTTGGCAAAATGAACCAATAATTCAACAAACAGATAAAAGGAATATATGTGATAGGCCCTGACCACAATCTCTTTGCCTAAGGATTTGGCCTTTCTCTCTCAATTCTCAACCTACTGAGTAACAGACACAGGAACAAGAAGAGAATATCCACTTCACTGGAAAATCTGGAATTCTCAGAGCTAGACTGACTACCACAGGCCAAAGGTGGCTGTCAATGAATCCCCATAAGATAGAGCAGACTATTTTCTCAGGCAAAGGGGAGAGCAGCTTGGGAAGGCTATGCTCAGCTCAGGATGAACTATAGGAAAGTAGGACAAACAGATCTCAAGAGGAAGAAAAAGTGGCCAAGGATGCTAATGAAATTCTTCCTCCTAGTCTTTCCAGACAGGTTGTTCCTCTATGGGGAAAGAAGCAAGCAGGAAAGCAAAAGAATGGTTCTCTCTCAGGCTCCCAAGAACAAAGACCTGAGCAGTGGAAGTTCAAAAACAAAGAGAAAATGGTTCCCCAACATTCTCCAACATTGGCACCTATGATAGAGATCACCTTGGTGTACGTTGTCCATGCACTAGTTGAGGCCAAGTAACACAGAGAAGCTAAAGAAGAAATATAAACTAGCATCCCACTTCCATCTCAATCTCACTCAAGTTTTTAAAATTCTAATGTGGTCACCCCAGCCTTCTTCATCCTGACCTTGCACTACGCATGTAAAACTTCTCTGACAGTGAGACATACGTAGCACACTCTGTGCTTCTGGCCATGAGGACCCTATGAGTCTCTCAAGACACAGTTATACCTCTATGAAGTTCTCAGAGCTACTGTAGGGAAAGCAAAGGGGGTCAATGCACCTGCCCAGTGGGCACCAGCCACAGACTATAGCAGCAAACTTGTTAATGAAGACTCACTCGAAATCAAATAAACACCATTTAAACCAACAAAAATCATTTGTCATCTATCACATGAACAAAGACTTTTCATGCACCAAGTGAGAGAAATGTTCATCCACTACTGCTAGGGACAGAAAGCACCTTGGCAAAAGCTTCAAGTATGTGTGTCCTTAGACCAGGAGCTCCCCTCGGTGGGCACTTCCAAATAAAAGACTCCCCAAAGCACACCAAGATTCAGACCTTAAACTATCATCTTAATACCTGAGATTTACTTCAAAATAATTCAGAAGGTAGGCATTGTATGGGGGTAAAGACAGGAAAAAAAACTACCTTTAACCGAAAACTACTGAAGCTGGCTGAAAGACACATCAGAACAAATTATACTAGTCTCTGTTGTTCTGTATGTTTGAGATTCTCCATAAAAAAAGCCTTTATTTTGTTTTAAGTTGCTATGCTTTAGATAAGGTCTGAAATATTCCTCAAGGCTTTATGTTCTGAAATGTGGGTAAGTAAGAAACAGAACACAGAAAAACAGAATTGGAAAAAAAAATCTTGTGTCAAATTCATATATTAGAGAAAATGCAAATAATACAACACAGTAAGTTACAAGAAAATGGCAAAGCAGGCACTTCTAGTACAAGATCTTTACAATATTATACATGAGATCAAAAGGGCAACTCAATCAGTGATAACATGGACAAAAAGTGTCAGTCAACAATACACCTTGAAATGCTGGCTTAAACTACTATTACTGATGAATCTTTACCTAAAAGTGTAACAAACTTGAGTAACAACCTTTGAGATAAGAACCCATCAACAATTTAAGACTTTTAAAAACTAAGCATTTAAAACTATCTTGATGGTTTATCAAAATAGAATAGCAAGTATTTTTAAATACTAACAAAATTTAAAATTTTTACTTTTATCTCTTGCTACACATTTTTCATGAATGTTTTATGTTTGAAATAGATCAGTAGAGTATATTATATAGAGATATAAAATTTTAAAGATAATTACTTCAAAATTTTTACTTAATCAAAAAGTATTATAAAAAATTACATGAGAACTTTGAATTTTGTTTATGTGGATGTCTATTATATCTGAACATATTTACCTTTAAGCTTATCTGCAAATAATCCCAAAGTGAATTCCAGAAACATTATGCAAAATATTAACCTGAGAATGTTATATTCCTGTAAGGTAAGGGTAAGATTTATGCCACCACTGTCCTAAACCCAATACCTGCCAGGTACTTTGAACATAGAAGAAACCAAAACATTTACTTCAGAGGGATTACTGCTTGATTTTTGATTAAAGAACTTACTAAAGTCAATTCTGTGCATTTAAAAATTAATTCAAGACTGAAGGTGTAACTCAGAGATACAGTGAATACATGCTTAGCATGAGAAAAGCCCTTAGTTCTAGCCTCAGCACCAAAACAACAATAATAATTGTATTTATACAATTTTTATGTACTCCAGACATCCTATGCACAAGTGATGCATTCCTTTAATTTAGTACCATTAAAAGACTAGTGTTTTCTTTCAGATATTTCTTACCTTTTTGCCAGACAGCAAATCTTCTCCAAGTAAGTCATCTTCAAGTTCACTGGGAGAATGCAGAAACATCAAAGCATTATTCCTCCTAGACTGGAAAGTATGCTGACCACTTAGCAAGGGCTCTAGGGCTCGGGTACTCTCATGAGAAGTTGGCTATACTGAATATTCTTGTAGGTAAGGAGAGGCTTTGACACAGGATGCAACCCACTAAACTTTCCTCTTAGTTTTGCACCTCAATAGAGATCTTAATCTCTTTGCAACAGTTGAATAATTAGTAAAAGAAACTGTAAGAAATAATATCTAAGCTTTCTCCTCCCTCTACAAACTTATATGATGAAATATATCATTTAAGATATATTTCATATATCACAAGATCATAAGAAACCATGATACTCTCTGGCAAAAACTGAAACAAAAAATTTACAACTTTAAAAACAATGGTGAGTTATAAAATTAAGTAACAGTAACAAGGGAATCATATTTGTGCAGTGGAAAAAAAACAATGGTCACCTGTAATGTTTCTCTGTATATTTCTATTGTGAAATAATCAGGAGCAGGCTTTCTTACAAATAAAGTAGAAACCTTAGTAAAGCAAAAAACTGGAGAAGTTTCTTCACTGAATGTGAAAAATAATTTTGATTGGTGAGAATGGTTACCACTGGGTTTTAATTTTGGAGAAACCAATCTCTGAGAAGCAAATGTCTTTAATGACTCACACACAGAAGGAAAAGGCACAATTAGACTAATGGTGATTCAAAGTGCAAATATCTATGGAGACCAAGTGCACCAATGTTCTCTTTTTATAAAGATTCTAGCTATAAAAGTCTATAGGTTTTGATTAGTTTCAGCACTACTTGCTCAAAAAGTAGTGGTGGGCTGTTTCACAGAACACTAGGATCTCTGGGAATGATTATGTAAAGTTAAAACAGAAATGCATGTGTCCATATAACACCTTTTAGAACTTTAAAAAACAAAAATTCAATTTTGTGCACTGAGAATCTCTTTAGTTATTTTAAGTTACCTTGCAGTAAGTCTAATATTCACATCTTATAGATGAAAACAAGGATAAGACATTAAATAATACCCAAGGGCTACACAGCAGAAATAGATTGATGCAAGACAAGAACTCACTAGCCCTTGAAAAATGGACCAGTACAAGATAGCTTTCAGAAACACAGCTCCTCCAATAATTTAACCACTAATCATCTGTAAGATTATTTTTCTAACTTCAGTGTTACAATTATCTTCCAGGGGCAGGGAAAAACATAGTGTCAACAATATTTACAACTCCTTTGAGAATTTGATTCTAGATAACCAAAAACACACAAGCACCTCTTTGAAGACAAGTGTTTCTCTCCACCATAACTTTAACCAACTGAAAATGGAGGTAATTCCATTCTCATGGTACATTACTTAAGATGGCAATAACAGCAATTTTAATTATACAAATAAAGAACTAAAAAGTATTTTGACTTACTGATAAAAATTGGTATCTTATTTTCAAACGCATAACGACTACGTATACTCTTTAGACATAAACATCTTTCAAAAGAGATACTTGACATAAACCTGTATCACTTATAAATGAGTGGAGTATATAAAAAAGGGAACACAGGACTTGTTCTCATGACTGATGATACAGTAACACAGCAGACAGCAGCCTAAACCCAAAGGATGACAAATCATCAATGATCAAGAAACCAACAATATCCATTTAGGATATTTCAGGAAAATACTATTAAAGATGTCCATGCCCCTACCTCTCCCCAAATTGCAGCCCAAACACACTAATCTCAAGACCTAATTCTAAATTCACATGAAATACAAGGAGTAAAGGAACACCCTAAAACACCAGATGGGGTACAATAAGCAAAGGCAGAAAATCTGACTTTGTTTCTCCCAAAAAACTGCAGTAACTAAAGATGGGAGTGTGCTATGCATTAGGTAAGTGTCCCTGAGGTCCACTTGTTAAAGGCTTAATCCCCAGGGTGGTGCTAGGTGAGGCCCCTAGATCACTGAGGATGTGCCTTCATTGTGGACTATGGGATACCGTCTCTTTTGCTGTTTTTCTGCCTCAGAATATGAGCGGTTTGTGCAAAACCATGTGCTCCCACCGTGACATGCTGCCTTCTCAAAGGCAGGGCCCAAAGCAACAACAGGACCACTTGATACAGTTCATTATCAACTGTAACCTTCAAAACTGTGAACAAAAACAGACTGATCAATTACAAAATTTGGAGTTTATTTAGACTCGGTTCAAATTATGAAAAATTATAGACATATATCCACACTGTGAGTATAGAATATGCATACATATATATTTAACTTGTGCAAATATATATATACATATCAAAATATGAGAAAATCAGGAAAATATTAACACTAACGAGACAGTAATAAGACGTTTCGTAGGCCAGGAATGGTGGTGCAACCCTGTAATCCCAGTGGCTTGGGAGACTGAGACAGGAAATTGCAAGTTCAAAGCCAGCCTCAGCAACTTAGCGAGGTCCCAAGCAACTTAGCAAGACCCTGTCTCAAAATATAAAATAAAAGAAAATGGGCTGGGGATGTGGCTCAGTGTTGAGTGCCCCTGGGTTCAATCCCTGGTCCTGCCCCCCCCAAAAAAGTTTCATTTTTAGACAACTCTTATGGCTACATTTATAAATCTACTTTTTACTGAGATAAGTTCCAAAATCTTTTCAGATAAAGTAGTGTCTATGACTGAGGGGCTGCAGTATGCAGACAATACAAACTGGCAACCTGGGAAGCTGAGTTGTGGTTCACTGCACTATTCTGTTTTCACTGATGCTTGAAATTCTAAGTTAAAAATTAATGAATTTAATCAATTTCAGGCAAATTATATATCTAATTAAAAATATACAGATTTACTTTTATAGATGCATATAGGATATAATGAACAAAGATAACAGAGGAAATCAAAATGATGAGTTAACTTTACTAAAAAACCCACTTTGTATTTTATTGTTTCATCATATTTTTAAGCAAAACCAGCTTCAATACCTTGAGAAAAGATTTATTCTAACCTTCCTTTTTTTTTTTTTTTTTTACAAACAGCATTAAGGCTAAAAATAGCCAACTTGACTGGTCTAAGGGCTGCCCAGAGAGCTGGCAAAACATATTCATGAATGTCTATAAGGATGTTTTCAGAAAAGATTAGCATTTCAATCAGTAGACTACAGTGAAAGAGCTACTTTCCAGCTAATTCATATCCTTGAGCTGAAATACCCATCCTCTTCAGGTTTCTGGTTCTCCAACCTTTGGGCTGGGACTAAGACACCACTGACTCCCTTGGTACTCTCGCCTTCAGGCTCCTGGTTCTCAGGTCTTCCGGATAGGACTAAACTATACCACTGCTTTCCTGGGCCCAAGATTGCATGATCCAATCCTTCATTATAAATCTCTTTCTATATATTCTATTGTTTCTCTGAAAAATCCTGCCTAACACACTGAGATGATGAAAACAATCAACCTTGTAGACTATAAGCATAACAAAGTTTGCACAGATTATTCTGTAAAATTTCTGGAGCACTGCTCTTTCCAAGCAGGAATCAGGTATTCTTTTCATTGCAATACATTTTTGTTCTTTATTCAGTTCTATTTACTGATAAACCTTCTGATTGTAACTCCAAGGTAAATTTTACAGTTTCTCACCTCCAGCATTTAAGACGGTGAGAAAGTTGTAAAGAATCGTCATTCTCAATACCTCTACCACTATTAGGCCCCACTGTGTACTCCCTCCAGCACAACTGGAACCTCTACTGGAACTCATGGCCAGAAGTGACCATCCACACAGATTGACATGGGCATTACTGTGACTCTTTTATACTGTATGTGCACATGTGCATTCCTAAGATAGTCTCATCTTACTGGTAATCAGGGAAAGTAAATTAAAATGAAAATCAACATATTTTAGAAGGGCAAAATTTTTCAAGCTTGGCAAAACATTGGCTAGTGTGTACAAAAGAAACTCTGGCACACAACCAGTCCAATTAAGGTCATGAGCATTCACAACGTCAATACCATTGCTGTGTTAAAACACAGGAAGAGGGATTGGGGGTGTGGCTCAGTGATACAGCGCTTGCCTAGCATGTATGAGGCACTGGGTTCTAGTCTCAGCATCACATATAAATAAATGAATAAAATAAAGGCCCACTGGCAACTAAAAAATACTTTCAAAAAAATACAGGTAGAGAAGGAAAGCTCACATTTTGCATAACCCTGCATATAGTACAGGCCTAGAACAGGAGCCCTCAGGTGATCTTGTCTTGGAGAACCAGGGCATGAAGGAGCCAGTATCCCTATTTTCAGTAAAATCTCTACATAGACCAGTACAGGAGGATAAAGTCTGTAGAAACTCCCCAGTGAAGCACAGGTGTGCGCCTACCTGTCCCAGTCCTCATCAGCTGCTCTTCTTCTCCAGGACCGCTCTGCACCAGGCTTATCAAACTGGTCAAAATCATCATCTGTGAGGAAGAGTCCATCCAAATCAGGTTTAGTAAGTCAAGATAGACACAGCACAAATAACCAGCCACTATAATAACTTTCGATATGAAGAAGTTCCACATACAACGTTCATAAATGCATTAGGCATTTTAATATTTTAAATCTTAAGAACACAAAGCTACCTAATTTATTAAACTATTGGGGGGGGTGGTAAATTTGTAATTCAGTTGGTAGAGTGCTTGCCAAGCATGCAAAAGGCTTTGGGTTCAATCCCCAGCACCACCTCCACCCCAAAATAAAAACATCACTAGGAATGAAAAACAACTAACAGGGTTTTCTAAAAGTAGACAAAATACCCCAAAACTTTAATGTTTCCTTTATTAAAAAAAAAAAATGGGCTCTGAGTTTATATTTATTGCTGCATATTACTTTTTGTAACATTCACATTTTTCTAAATTAATCATGGAAAGCAAAGACTCTAAGAAATGTTGAGATAATACAGAAAAAGAGCTAAACAGAGAAAATTAATGCAAGTCACATATACAATTTTTTTAAGCTGACACATTTTGAAATATCAAGAGTCTGATGCAGTGGTACATGCCTGTAATCCCAGCTACTAGAGAGGCTGAGGCAAGAGGATCACAAGTTGGAGGCCAGCTGCAGCAACTAGATAAGACCCCATTTCAAAATTTAAAAAAAGATGGGGTTGCTGGGAAGATAGGCCAAAGGGAAAGCATTCCTATGTTTAGTCCCCAGTGCTAGCCTCAAAAAGGTAAATAGAAACAGGTAAAAATTTAACAGTATATTTTATTTAATCTCTATTACATATCATAGTATCTAAAATATTATATCATGTAATCGATACAGAAAATAGGATATTTTACATTTTTCCATATTTTGCACATACTACACATCTTGCATTTCAATGTAGACAAGCTATATTTCAACTGCGTGGTCATTGTATATATGACAAGTAACCACTGACATGGATGGTGCAGAAAAAGCAATTAAGAGTAATAAAGCCCTGCATGCAACTCAGTTTCTTTTTCTATAAAATGGAGCTATCATCAATCCCATGAATTTGCTGGAAGATTAAGTTTGACAACATATTTTAAAATGCAGGGACTGACAAATTAGAGGCACCTGATGTAGTTATTTTTATTACTAGGAACGGTTTTTATCCTAGACACACACAATCAAGGAGGTTTACAGAGAAGCAGAGTGGCGTAAGGCAGCCGTGTGATGCAAATGCCCATAACATCTTGGCATTTTTCCAGCTTTGGCTAAAAATTAACAACTAAGGTTCCTACAAAGTAATCTATCAACTCTTACCCAATACTACCAAACAGAACACAGACTTTTAAAAGCATCCAAGAATGAAAGACACAGATGACAACCAGCAATTCCAAGAGTTCAACCTCCAGCATGACTATGTGAGGAGCTCCACAAGCCCCTCTCCAAAGTTTTTTTTTTTTTAAGGCCACTTAAAGTCTCTAGAAATAAAAATATTCTTATTCCAGAAATTTACTCAAATCAGATTACAACAGCCATAAGAATTCAATGGTCTTTGGACCAGGACCCAACCCCTCCTCCCCTGGGCCAGCAAGGCTGACTCAATTCCAAGAACCAGGGCTCCCTATCTAGCACTACTCATCCAGACCCCACCTACCTGCTGCTGAGTTCCAGGTGAGTGTGATAAAGACTTCCTTCTTCTCCCCAGGTCCCACTTGTGGGACAGACACTACTGGGCCCAGATTGCACCTGACCTTGCTCATGTAATGGATGCTCCACACCAGAGTCAAGCCAAGGACCCCTGAGAATGCTTCCCCCAACTCCAGGTACTCGGCCTCTACAGTGACGTGCCACTCAAAGAGACCAGCACACCACTACCCATCACAGCCCAAGAGCTGAGGCTCAGAGAGTTTGCAAGGTGAGAGGGGTGGTTTAGAATAGAGTTCTAACTCTCCCAAAGAATCTGACTTCAAGCCAAAGGTGTTCTCAAAACCAATGAGGGTTTTGCTAGGAAGGAAATGGGAGGACATCTATCCATTCAAAGGAGCCTCAACAGACTCTCTAAATTTATGCGCCAGGGCTTTATTGACAATGTGGTCAAGGAAAGAAAAGGATGAGGATGCTATACCAAAGGCTTGGGCAGCTGAGGGCACAGCAGAAACTTCACGCTGCAGAGGGGTGGAGCAGATGTCTAGCTTAATCCAGTCAGTCATCTCATCTCCACAGGAAACAAGCAGGTAACAGTCAATACCCCCAAGTGGAACAGCAGGGAGAATAGCACCCAGAGCTGCTCCAAAATATTATCTAAAATGTCCAGTTTCCAAGTGAAAATTACAACCCATCAAAGAAACAAAAAAGTATAACCCATAATCCGTCAGCAAAAAAAAAGCAGGCTACAGAATCTGCCTGTCAGGGTCAGATGTCAGATTTAATAGAAAAAGACATGTAAGTAGCCATTACAAACATGTTCAAAGAACAAAACTGAAATCACACTAAAGGCAAGTAGAAACCCACGTCAAATATTAAGAACATGGTAAGGACACAGAAATTCCTAACAAAAAGCAAAACAATTCCCTAGCTGACAGATAATAGAATTCACTAGAGCAATACAAGCAGACTCAAACAAGCAGAACAAAGAGAGAGGGAAAAAAAATGAAGACAACTGAACACAGCTCCAGAGAAGGGTAGGCCATCAGTAGATATCCCAATATATTCACAAAAGGAGTATCAGGAGAGGAAAGTCTTGAAGGCAGAAAGACAACAAAGACCTACCACTTACAGGGGACTGCAATTCACAGCAATTACTTCTCCTTGGAACTATGGAACCACAGTGGCCAGGGGCAGTGGAATAATCCATCCAATAGCTCACAGAAAGACTCTTAGGTCCAGCTACAATACCTTTCAAAACATGAAATAATAGCAATCACAGAAAAACAAAAACAGAAGGCATCTGTTGCTAACAAGTCCACTGTAACTTGTTGAACTGTATGCCCCCCAAAGATACAGAAGTCTTACCCCACCCTGTGAATGTAACCCATCCTATTTAGAAATGAGGTGTCTACAGATGTACTCAGGTTAAGACAGGACCCTGAGGAGGACACTGAATCCAATGACTAACGTATTTGTAAAGAGAAGATTAGAGATAGGCACACAAGGGTAAAGGCCATGTAAGGCCAAGGACAGTAATGCCCCTACAAGTCAAGCAATGCCAGGAGTCACCAAAAGCTGGAAGAAACAAAGGATTCCCTCTAGAGCCTGTTAATATTCTCTGGCTTCTTGAACTATAAATAAATTCATCCTGTTTTAAGCTAATCCCTTTGTGGTGTATGTAAATGTGTAGTTTCATAACTTTCACTGAATAGGGGAAATTTTTAGCCATTATTTCCTCATTCTGCTGCCACTTGCCCTTTGGCCTTCTGGGCCTCCCACGTATTTAAATACATTTGATGGTGGCTCTTCAAACTCTCTTCATTTTTTCTTTCTTGACTACCAAATGGATAATCTCAGTGGACCTCTGTGTTCGCCCATTCTTTCTTCTGCTTGCTCAAACCTGTTGCTGAACCCCTGCAGGAAACTCACTTCAGCTATTGTAGTGGTTGGTACCATAAGTTCTATTTATGTCCTTTTTGTAATATTCCCTATTTCTTCATACATGCCATCCAGAAAGCAATCTGAGCATGTTTAAAACAGATTTTTCAAAGCCTGCCTTCAAGTTCAATGTCTGGGCTGGCTTGTGGGTGGCTTCTACCCACTCCCACCCCCACTCCCCACACTGGAAGAGGCCATACTTTACTTTCTCAGCTTCTCTATAAGTAAATTTTAATTTAAAGTTGGATATTTTATTGCAGTGTAATAATTCTGGAAAATAGATCCTCCCCTTTCTAGGTACTGCTTCTATTACTTAATGAAGACTGTTGTCCCTTCTTTAGTGACTTCCCTAAGCATTTTTGCAAATACTATTATATTCCTTCTTGAATATTGCCACTGCAGTCTCTGTTCTGTTACCTCCCTAATCGCCCAGTGATCTGACAGATTTTCTTAAATGCTTCAATCGAATAAGAAAAGGAAAACTGACCAGTGCTACAGGGCAAAGTGCTTCAGTGGAGGAAGGCTGAAGTACAAGGGCCTCTGTGCCAGTCCAACAGGGACCAAAATATGACCCAAAGAACACAGTGCCAATTCTTGAAGGGTAAGATTCCTACTATCCACCCCGGGACCAGCAGGTATACCAGGACTGTGGGCTGCTGTCCCCCTGGCTGCAGGCCACAGGTGTGGATGTTGGGGGAGAGTAGCCACCCCAAGAAACATCAAAACTCACAGGCATTTACCAGCCTCATTTACCATTCTCCAGGTGCCCCTTGGATGCAGCAACTGTTCAGCCCAACTCTAGATTACAAACAGGCACTTCCAACAGTTCCTGTTACAGTTCCTGTTAGCTCATATTTATTTCACTGGAGGGACAATTCCTCATAATTTCTACCCTACTATCTCTGCATTGTCACAGACTAACAGAATAAATAAAACAACAACAACAATGACCTAACTACACACTGTGAACCAGGGTTTTTTTTCCCCCCATTGTAATTAAAGGACCCAAGCAGAACAACTGTGAAGAGGAAAGGTTTATTTAGGGGCTCACAGTTTCAAAGGTCTCAATCTATAGACGACAGGCTCTATTGCTCAGGGCTTGAGGTGAGGCAGGACATCATGGCAGAGGGAACCAGCTCACATGAGATCAGGAAGCAGAGAGATCTCCACTTGCCAGATACAAATGTATACCCCAAAGCCACACCAACATGCCCACCTCCTCCAGCCACACCCACCACTTCAGTTACCATTCAGTTAATCCTTATCAGGGGATGAATTCACTGATTGGGTTAAGACTCTCACAACCCAATCATTTCTCCTCTGAACCTCTTGCACTGTCTCACACGTAAGTTTCTGGGGGATACCTCACATCCAAACCATAACAACTAGAGACCCACTTTAGACCCCAAAACACTAACAGGTTGCAACATAAAGAATGGAAAAAGATATTCAATGCAAACAACAAGAGAGCTAAGGTGGTTTTACTACTAACACATGGAATAGATCTTAAATTCAAAAGTGCTCATTAAACAAAAGATATTATGTGCTGACAAAAACATCGACTCACCAAGAGATACAAAAATTATAAACACACATGCACCACAATATATGCAGCAAACATTGATAAAAACGAAGAGAGAAATAATTCTTCACTAACAGAATTCTACACTCATAGAAGACCTAGACAGAAAACCAGTAAGCAAGAAGACAACTGAGCAATACTTAAGTCCATAGATCTAACACTCCCTACAGAACACCTGAAAACAACACAGAACATACCTTCTCCAATGCACATGGATCACTGGCTGGATATATGTGAGGACCTAAAAGCATTCTCAATGAAGTTTAAAAAAGATCAGAATCACACAAAATACCTTCTCTGACTACAATATAAATAGAAAGGAAAACTGGAAAATTCACTAACACATGGAAATTAAACTATATACACAACCAACAGATCTAAGAAATTACTGGGGAAACGAAAATGAGATGAACAAACACAAAATCACAACCCACGAGAACATATGAGATGCAGAGAAAGTAGTACTCAGAGGGTAATTCAAGATTGAATCACCTCTATCAACAAAGAACATCTCAACTACACACCCTACTTCACCCTTTGAGGCACACAAAACGCAGAACAAAATAAACCAAAAACCAACAGAAAGAAGTAAATAAAAGAGCAGACACAAATTAAACAAACTAGAAAAAATGCTTCCAAAACTAGACTACTATCCCTCATGAACATACATGCAAAACTTCTTTTAAATTTAGCACCTACCACCAAAAAAAGAAAAATTATCAACTAGACTCCAACAATAAATTACACGTACAATTTACATAATGAGTACAGGGCTTTATCCAGCACTGCAGGCTGACTTGACACTCCAAAGTCGGTCTGAAAACAAAAAGAGCTGATGCAACAACACGTTGACAAGTGAACAACCCATCCTTACCCTCATTATGAAGGAAGTATTCATGAAACATCAGCCCAGCTCCAGCAGCACAATGGACATGCAACCTCTCCAATGCATTCCCCCTGGGGTAGGTCCAGCGTAACTTCCAATGTTGTCCTGGCCTGCCACTCCCCAGGAGCACCTGAGTAATAAAATGTACAAACCCTCTCTGTTGATTCCTCCAAGTTCTTTCTTTGGGACCAGTAAACAATAATCTGGGATGTGTGCAGACCCAGGGTTGAACACTGTTGAAATGTTACTTCACCCCTAATTGACCTACAGGTTCAATGCAATCTTAATCAAAATCTCAGCAGCTTTTTTTGTAGAAACAGAAACATGATTCTAAAACTCATATAGAAAAGCAAAGCACCTAGAATACTTAACACAACTGTGAATAAAGGACATGTTGGAAAGCTAACATTATCTGCTGTTTAAGAAATTCAAAGCTATAATAATAAAATCTGTAGTATTCATGTGTATATAGTCAAATCGATCAATGAAACAGAATAGCCTTCCACAAATACTTCCACACATATATGGACAACTGATATTTTACTAAGGTGGGAAGGATAGCCTTTACAGCAAAAGGTCAGGAGTAACTGGAGAACCCTCTATACAACAACAAAAAAAATCAGGAAGCTAAATTCACACTTTGTAAAGAAGATAAGTTCCTGGGATAAGCAAAGATATATGTGACAGTGAAACAAAAATCAATGAAAGAACAAAATGATAAGCTAGATATCAAAATTTTGAATTCTATTCTCCAAAGACACCATTAAGAAAACGAAAACAAGCCAGATTAAGAGACAATCTTTGTGAAGTACTACACAGCATTTTCCTGGCTTTTGTGTATTCCAGTGAATTAAGTAACCCGAGTTCACCAAGTAAAAGCACGCGTAGCCTCGGTACCTCATCAGTGATTGGAATCTTTAGTGGAGCAGTCTGATAGAGCTGAGCCATTAACCTGTGGGACCTGCCCTAACCCTGGAGTGTCAGAACTTAAGGGAATTGTTGGTGTTGCAGAACGATCGTTTAATCCAATACAGTCAGCAAGCCAAACTGCTGTTGATATTAAAAAAGATGAAGCCAGGCACAGAGGTACAAGCCTACCATTCCAGCCACTAGAGAGGACAACTGATATTTTACTGAAGCAGGAGAATTGCAAGTTCAAGGCC